CTTTATTTCCTAAATATTCTCATCGTTTAGTCAAACAGAATTGTAACTGTTTTATTGGTGTTAATTCATTATTAAATTAATTTACTGGTATTCCAGTTTAAAACATTAATCTACAATTTTTAAATCATACCTTACCCAACTTCTAAATTATGGGCAAGGCAAAACCACTGATAAGGTTGACTTTGAAGGTCAACACCTCAGAGGCAGATGTATCTCTAGGTTTCTATCTATATATATATACCGTACATCTGGCAATTGAAGATCAGATATAACAAGGAACGACTGAACAATGCAGTTTAGTCATATTAATATATACACCCACACATGCATACAACAACCAGCAGGCAACCATCAGTCTTCCAATCTACAAACAAAAGCAAGCAGGAAGCATAGTTGACAATGTCATGATGGGGAGTCACCCCACAGACTGTCATCAGTCATAGTTAGGACAAAGCAACAGCCATCAAATCAGTTATTAAATATATGAAAGTGTGTCAAAACTAATTGATAATTTACAAAGTCGTTGTCTTCCATTGTTCATCATAGATATTACCAACACTGTCTCATATTGTCATTTTTTTTGCATGATCAGTTCAATGAAAAAAATTTGATTATCAATTATTATTTCTGATCAGTTTTTACGCACAATTCACCGCTGTATACATTATCCATGAGGCCTATCTGCATTAGTGTGTCCAACATGTTCACAAGACACCAGATACTGATAAGCTCAGATGAAACATTATCCGACACCAATATGCCAATTCCCATCAATTATTTTGTATTAACTACTTACAAACAATTTAAGATCCACTGTCTGAACAAAGTAGGTAAAAACACAAACTTCAAGTGTTTTTACTGATGGTACTCATGGCAAAGCCAATAGCATCAGTATAGTGTAATGCCATGAAAAGAGGCCTCTAATCAACCTTCAGTTTCAGTTACCTTTAAATAAGTTCTGGTAAATTCACCAAGTTTTTTTTTAAGGTAGAAGCCTACTTTTTGAAAATATGGTCATAAATCGCATGAAAATGTTCATTGGTTTATTATATAAAATCGTGAAGCTATTGTCCCATTTCAACATGAAGTAGCATTCTTTTGTGTGTTACAGTGAGGTATTTTTGTCCTAATATTTTCCCCAAATCACTATTTTTAGAACAATTCCATGGAGCACAATGTTAAGGAACAAGCAGCCTGTCGGCTGAGATAGCTCCGCTGTTAGCAATGCACATTACAATTAAAGAACAGAAGATATCATTAGAAAATGAACAATATGTATAGTATCAAAGGAACAGGTTTTCAACAAGAAGTCAAAAATATCACTTTTTACCAAAATTAAAAAATATTCACTAAAATTAGAGAATTAAAGATGTCATCATGAAATGAACAAATCTGAGGGAGGACCACATGTAGTACCTGTATATGTAATATCAAAGCAATCGGACTTGCGGTTTTTAACAAGAAGTCTTATAAATTTTAGAATGAATAAATCATTCAGATACAAGTATATTCTCATCAAACTGAAGATTTACGTAATTCTCATTCTGGTCATGTTTTCTGGCATGATAACTATTATATTAGAAATGCAGGTTTTTAAATTACTAAAGAGTTTGGCTTAGGCAGATAGGGTTCAGTTTTAGATAGATCGAATATGGTACAGTAGATAAGGGTTAGGGTCTATGGTTTCCACCAGCTTCAGCTTACAACTACTGGTACCCGGTAATTGTAAATGAAAATGAAAAAAGTCATTTATTAAAAAAAGACAAAAATAATCAGTCTTTTTTAAAGACTTCATTGTGTTTGTTTTATTACTGTATTTACTTACATGTTTACGCTCAAATGGAAATATATCATTTCTATTCAGCTGTATAAGTTTATCTTTTTTTACTCACCTTAAGTTCATAATGTGATCTTCATGATTCCCTCTGTTAAGGTAGACTTCATTTGGATAGAGTAAGATAAATGAAAATAAAAGAAGTGCTATCTCCACTGAGTTGGGTCCTCTGTCTACAAAATCACCATTGAAAATGTAAGGATTTTCAGTGGAAGGCAGACCATTCTAGAAAAAGATAATTATCAATATCAAGCCAGAATTTATAGTCGCAGTGGGGGATTACAATGGATGTCAACAAATAAGTCTTTTTGGGTATTAATGATTTATCAAGCCTTTTTTGTTATCTGACATTTTTATATTATTCATAAATCAAATCAATAATACAATACCTTGTAAAAAATCATAAAAAGATCATCTATTTTGCCATGAAGATCCCCTGTAAAAAAAAAAAGTTGTAATTTATTGAACATTGAAATTACCACATGATTGCATTCACAAAATATCCATGTGGCTTCATTGTTTTGCAGTGTACAGTGATGGCGCCAGAACATGTATATTTTATACTGTAAACTACTTTATTTTCGCTCAGAATTAATTTTCGTTTTTTTTAATGAAGGAATGATTCAGTGAAAAATCAAATCCTGCGAATATACCTTTTTTCTTATATTTTACAATCAACTCATCAAAAATCAGTGAAAATATATTCCACACAAAAGACCCAAAAGGTGTTTCAGTGAAAATTAATTCCAGCTAAGTATTTTACAGTATTTATAATTTTAGTATGGAGGAAAAGTGAAAAAAAAAATATTTTTATACATGACAATTACAGCAGGTGCCAAAATAAACTTAAAACCATTATCTCCTTATCAGTTTTTCTTGAAATTCCAAGACAAACACTTCTGCACACATGCATGTTACTAGTACAGTGAAAACTGGTGAGATTCAAACGTTATATGAATGAGTGAAACCAAATTGGCTTTATGAAAATTAAGTCAGATTTTGAAAAAAATATGAAAATGGTGGATTATTGAATCTTAATAATGTTAATGGCACATTTGAAATGAATTATATTTAATCACAATCATACGGATTAATAAATGTGGAAGGCAAAGCTACAACAAACAATGACATTATTTCTAGGAATATTGCAATTTTGCAAGGAAGATTAATAGGTACCGTAGATAGATAACAGATTTCCCTGATCAGTTCATATTGATGCTGATGTGATTGAAATAAATTATCATATAACAAGCTTTTTTGTAATGAGCACAACACATTTTTGTTAGAAATTAGTTACATGTAAAGTTAGAAATGGGCCAAAATTGAAGAATGAAATATTATCCAATGCTTGCTACCATTCCACTAAGCAGTTTGCCTACATCTAAGTGAATACTTTTTTCACATACCGCATATAGTGATCTGCTTGGCAAGGCTGGTTGTTGCTTGGCTAATATTAGGCATCAGTTTTAGTTTATTCCTTATTTCATGCAGTAACTGTAATGTATACTTGGCATGTAAAACCTGAAGAGATAAAAAGGTGACATATATTGTAGTGTAGCTTCTTTTATAATAAACTGTTACCAACATCGTGATCGGCGACCGATCAGTCAAATTACATAGGTTTGCATTATTTTAACACATTTCCTTGCTAAAATCCTCCACAGATAGCTGAAAAAAATTAGAAAAAATTTGCCAGCAGGCTGTTTGTTAAAACAGTATACTGTGTTTGCTATATTACCCTGGTAGTAAGCAGATGGTCTCATGTGAGGTGTATCTATGTATAAACTAAGTCAGAATTAAAAAAAATTATTTATAAATCTATAAATGCATATAATACATGTATGTCATTGGGCTGTTCTAAACTTTAAGCTTGTTTTTTGTGGTACACACAAGCTTATTATAGTGAGTAAGGGCACAGTATACAGGTCTTATGGGTGAATAGAATAGAATAGAATAGAATAGAATAGAATAGAATAGAATAGAATAGAATAGAATAGAATAGAATAGAATAGAATAGAATAGAATAGAATAGAATAGAAATATTCTACAAAATCGTTTTTCACCCATCTACATAGTACTTTCTATATCACAGAAGTGTTTTGTCGCTAGTAGGTATTGAAACTGATCTTTTAGTAAAATTTATTTATATTATCCAGTGAACTTCTATCAATTACGCAAGGACAAAACTCTTAACACATTGAAGACACTGTATAAAGTGTATATTATCTGTTGCGGCAAACAACAAAGATAATAACATCTTCAGAAAGTTCTACAATTACAAGGCAACACACAAAGACACTGATAACAGGTTGCCAAGTGGGAAACCCTGCAGGGATTACAGCAATCAAGAAGGGTCAAATACTGGTTGATAATCAGTTCTTGTTAGTGTGTTGCTGCTGCTACAAATTGCATTATTCACTGCATGTTGGAAACACCCATACTTGAGATTTTCTGTTCACCATATCAGGAAATGCAACTCTTTACCATGTACATCTCAAAACTTAGTATGCAGAGAATTGAAATAAACCAAATGGAAGTGTTGCCAAAGATGTTAGGTCTTATAATTTGACACATAATAAAAGACTATCAGGGTTCTGTAAAGGAAAATTCCTCTCAGTGACTTTTTGTCTTTACAAATGCCATAAACTTCTGAAATCTTGAAAATTTCTAGCAGCAAAAATTAAACAGTGTACTTTATTATATATGTACCCCGGTATACATACCGGTATACTCCGGTAGACCCAAATTATGTGTAATGTTTTGTCTGAAGCTGAATAAGATTAATTTGAAGATATTATTTTGCTTATATTCTTCAATATTTCTGGAAATTAACCTAAATTTTGGAGCCAACAGACAAAATTTGAGTCAATTTTCAGTTTTTACTCAAAAAAATTTGACTGTGTTTGTCCCAATTTTTGAAGGAAAGTGCAGACTATAAACAGGACCACGTCGTGAATTTATGTTGAAAAGAGAGAACTAGTGGTGAAAAGGTTAAAGCATGACAGTCAACACGCAGTGCACAATCAAACTTCATAAACTAACAAGTCA